CTATCCGAAATGCCTGGCTGATAAAAACCTTGACTGCCAGCGCCGAGCAGCAAAGTGGGGCCGTTCACAGACTTGATCGCCGTCGTAATGCGGTCTATCGTCAGCTTCTTGTCTGCAGCCCCACGCCGTTCGAACACAGAGCGATTCCCGAATATGTTCGCAACCGGAAAAGCTACGGGCCCCCTCCTGCGAGGGCATGGGCGTGAGGGCAAATCGACGGGCCTGTCTTTCATGGCCGATCGTCCTCTATGGAGCTCAAGATTTACAGCTTGGAGTCAATGCTGGTAGTTGTGTGTCGTGTGTATGCACATACGCACGCGTTAAACAGCCGCACTGGGTTCTTGTCATAAGGAAATTCGCACGACACTGTGCTTCATATGTGGTATCGTTCAAAAGACGCCACAATATCTAGCTCACCATTGGAACTCTTAAGGATGCACTCACAGAAGACGGCAGAGCTCTTCCTTAACGCGAATCTCAGTATGGCCTCTGGCCCTCACGCTTACAGATTCAGGTGGTGCAGCATTCCTTATTCAGGACGCTCGTCTGCATCGTAGGACGGCCTCTGGCCCTTCGGTCACTATTGTCCCACTTTGTGGCACGGACGCACGCACACGTTTTCCCAACTATCCTGTGATGATGTGTCCCCGCGTCCATCGCTCCTTCCTCCTCCTTCCCATTTGTCCTTCTCCTCCCTCCTCCTTCTCCTTGCCTCTTCCGTCCTTGTCGCCATGCTCATCATCATCATCACCACCACCACCATCATCATCATCAGAATCATCATCCTCATCACCATCATAATCAGCATCAGCATCATCACCATCATCATCTTCATCATCAGCATCACCATCAACATCGTCATCGTCATCGTCATCATCATCATCATCATCATCATCATCATCATCATCATCATCATCATCACCGGCATAATCGCCTTCACCGTCATCATCATCAGCAGCATCATCAACATCATCATCAGCAGCATCATCATCAGCATCATCATCGAAAAAGCGTGTTCTACCGCTGTTGGCGGAAAACCGAGGGGGTCATTGGGGGTTCCCAACCCGTCCCCCCCCTTCGAAAACTGGAGGGGGGTCACTACAGGTTCCAACCCCCCCTCCCCCCCCCTGTCCATCATGAAAAGGGGCTGGGACATTGGTGGGGACAGTGGTGTGGGGACAGTGGGACAGTGGCGGGGACAGTGGGACAGTGGTGGGGACGGTGGTGGTGGGGACAGTGGTGAGGGGACAGCGGGACAGTGGTGGGGACAGTGGGGACAATGAGACAGTGGTGGGAACGGTAGTGGTGGGGACAGTGGTGAAGGCGGTGGTGAGGACGGTGGTGGGACAGTGGTACGGTGGGGAGAGTGGTGGGGACAGTGGGGACAGTGGGACAGTGGTGGGGACAGTGGGGACAGTGGGACAGCACAGTGGGACAGCGGCGGGAACGGTGGGGACAGCGGGACAGTGGGGGGAACAGTGGGGACAGTGGGACAGTGGTGGGAACAGTGGGGACAATGGGGAGTGGGCCGTGGTGGGACAATGGTGGGGACAGTGGGAACAGTGAGACACTGGTGGGGGCACTGGTGGGGACAGCGGGGACAATGGTGGGAACAGTGGGGACACTGGGAAAGTGGTGGGGGGACAGTGGTGGGGACAGTGGGACAGTGGTGGGGACGGTGGTGGTGGGGACAGTGGTGTGGGGGGGGACAGTGGGACAATGGGGACAGTGGTGAAAGTGGGACGGTGGTGGGGACCGTGGGGAACGTGGGGAGAGTGGGACCGTGGTGGGAACAGTGGTGGGGACAGTGGGGACAGTGCGACAGTGGTGGAGGCACTGGTGGGGACAGTGGGGACGGTGGTTGGAAAAGTGGGGACAGTGGTGGTGTGGACGGTAGTACTGGGGACAGCGGTGGGGGATGTGGTGCGGACGGTGTGTGGGGATTCGGGAGTCGTTTGCCGGCGGTGAGGGGGGGGGGTCGAACCGGCAGTAGCCCCCCTGGTTTTCTGGAGGGGGGGGGGAGGGGGGGTTCGAACCGGTAGTGACTCCCCAGATTTTCTGGAGAAGGAGGGGGTGGTTCGAACCGGCAGTGACCCCCCACGATTTTCCGGAGGGGGGGGGGAGGGGGGATTCGAACCAGTAGTGACCCCCCCACCCCCCCGGTTTTCTGCCCTCCCAGTCCCGAGGAGCGGGAATCGTTTGCCGGCGGGGACGGGGGGGGGGGTTCGAACCGGTAGTGACCCCCCCCCCCAGTTTTCTGGAGGGGGGGGGGAAGGGGGGTTCGAACCGGCAATGACCCCCCCGGTTTTCCGGAGAGTGGGGGGGGAGGGGTTAGGGGGGGGCTTTGCCGGGGGAAGGGGGAGGTTCCAGCAAGGGAGGGGATTTTCGAAGGTGGGGGGGGACCCCTGGGTTCCAAAAGAGGGGGGGGAATCTTCCATAGTAAAGTTGCGGTGGATAACGCTCTCTCTCATCATCAAAAGCATCAGCAACATTATTACTTTTATCGTGATTATCGTGATTATCGTAATTATCGTTATTATTGCTATTATTGTTATGAATATTATTATTATTATTAATAATAATAATATTATTATTATTGTTATTATTATTATTACTATTATTATTGTTAGTATTATTATTATTGTTATTATTATTAATATTACGATTATTAGTAGTAGTAGTATTATCATTATTATTACTATTACTATTAGTATTATTATTAGTAGTAGTAGTATCAGTATTATTATTAGTATTATTAGTATTATTATTATTATTAGTAGTAGTAGTAGTAGAAGTATCATTATCATTATTAATAGTATTAGTATTATTGGTATTCTTAGTATTATCATTACTATTATTATTATTAACATTATTATTAGTATTATGATTAGTATTATTACTAGTATTACTACTATTATTGGTTTTACTATTATTATTAGTAGTAGTAGTAGAATTATTAATACTATTAGTATTACAACTATTCATATTAGTCATACTAAGATTAATAATAGTATTAATATTAGCTTTAGTATTGTTAGTAGTATTAGTATTAGTGGTAGTATTATTAGTACTATTATTAGTAGAATCATTAATATTCTTATTACTATCATCATCATCATCATCATCATCATCATCATCATCATCATCATCATCATCCTCATCATCGTCATCGTCAGCATCAGCATCAGCATCATCATCATCGTCATCAACACCATCATCATCATTATCATCATCATCATCACCATCATCATCATCATCAGTATCATCGTCATCGTCATCATCATCACCATCATCAGCAGCATCAGCATCAGCATCAGCAGCACCATCATCATCATAATCAGCATCATCATCATCATCAGCATCATCATCATCATCATCATCATCATCATCATCATCCTCATCCTCATCCTCATCCTCATCCTCATCATCCTCATCATCATCATCATCATCCTCATCATCATCATCCTCATCATCCTCATCATCCTCATCAGCAGCAGCATCATCAACAACATGGCACACCCCTCACACGCTTCGTGGCCCCAAAGGGAGCCCCACCAAAGGTCCCAGTGGGAAAATTCGCATGCAGTGCCACCCCCCATTTCGGCGCATTCCTCCCACACGCTCAGTGGCCCCATAGGGAGCTCCACCTAAGGCCCCAGTGGCAAAGTTCGCATGCAGCTCCATCCCATATTTCGGCGCACCCATCTCACGGCTCGTGGCCCCATAGGGAGCTCCACCGAAAGCCCCACTGGGAAAGGCCCCCCCGTGGCACTGTAGGGAGCCCCAACGAAGGCCCCAATGGAAAAGTTCGCATGCAATTTCTTTCCCATTTCTGGACACCCCTCACACGGTTCGTGGTCCCATAGGAAGCACCGAAGGCCCCAGCGGGAAAGTTCGCATGCAATTCCACACCTCATTTCGGCGCACCCTTCACACGGCTCGTGGCCCCATAAGGAAATAAACCGACAGCCTCACTGCGAAAGCTCACATGCTGTTCCACCCACCATTTCGGCGTACCCCACACGCGGTTCGTGGCTCCACAGGGAGCTCCACCGAAGGCCGCAGTGGGAAAATTCGCATGCAGTTCCACCCCCCCACACGATTAGATTTTTCCGCCTATGAGTTTCACCTCCTTCCTCCTGCTCCACGGCCGCCCCGTCTGGCTCAGTCTCCTCTCCTGCGCGCTGGGCAATTCGCTCTTCAGCAGCCCCGTTTAGCCCGGTTCGTGGCCCCATAGGGAGCTGCACTGGAGGCCCCAGTGGGAAAGTTCGCATGGAGTTCCAGCCCCCATGTCGGCACACCCCTCACACGGTTCGTGGCCTCGAGCTCCACCGAAGGCCAAAATGGGAAAGTTCGCATGCCGCTCCACCCCCCCATTCCGGCGTTCCCCTCACACGGTTCGTGGCACCATAGGAAGCTCCACCGAAGGCCACAATGGAGCTCTACCGAAGGCCCAAGCTCTACCTCCAACAGTTCGCGGCCCATAAGGAGCTCTACCGAAGGCCCCGATGACGATTCGCCTCCCCATAGGAAGCCCCACCAAAGGCCCAAGCTGAAAAGTTCGCATGCAGTTCCGCCCCCCATTTCGGCGCACCCATCACACAGCTTGTGGCCCCATAGGGAGCTCCGCTGAAGGCCCCAATGGGAAAGTTCAGATGCTGTTCCACCCTCCCATGTCGACGTATCCCTCACACGGTTCGTGGCCCCACAGGGAGCTCCACCGAAGGCCGCAGTGGGAAAGTTCGCATGCTGTTCCACCCTCCATTTCGGCGTACCCCTCACACGGTTCGTGGTCCCATAGGTAGCTCCACCGAAAGCCTCACTGCGAAAGTTCGCGTGGTGTTTAACCCCCAATTTCAACGTACCCCTCACACGGTCCGTGGCCCTGTAGGGAGCCCCACCGAAGGCCCCAATGGGAAAGTTCGCATGCAATTTCTTTCCCATTTCTGGACACCCCTCACACGGTTCGTGGCCCCGCCGGTAGCCCCACCGAAGGCCCCAATGAAGTTCGCATGCAATTCCATACCTCATTTCGGCGCACCCTTCACACGGCTCGTGGCCCCATAGGGAGCCCCACCGCAAGCCCGGTGGGAAAGTTCGCACGCAGTTCCACCCCCCAGTTCGGCCCACCCGCCACACGGTTCGTGGCCCCATACGGTGCCCCACCGAAGG